AGGATCGGAGTTTTTAGCAAGATTGTCTTTTAACTTCTCTCTCTGTTTTGAATTTCCCCAAAGTTTCCCGTTCTCTTTGTGATATCTATCAAATGCGCCGCGAGCGCACGCCCTCTACTTGCCTCGATTATTTGCGTGTTGTGAAATATCTGTGCAAGCGCTTACCTCGGAATTGAAATTCGTTTGTTCCAATGTATCTGATGAGATTAAAATTTAGGTTGTTCTCACCTACATCTATGCCAATAGACAGTCTGAATGGATAAAACCGTTTTTGGAGAAGCGAGCAGGCGATAGCGTTGTGAGTGGGCCTTAATTCTACTAATAATAAGTTTATGACTCATTAAATGATTAATCGAGCGTTCCAGGCGGACGCCAGGGATGTGTTGGTAATTTGGCGAATCGAACACGTGAAGGCTCGTTTCACGTGGCTCGAATCCGCCTGGGGTGTTGGTGCAGAACACTTTGAGACGTTGTTGGGTAGTGTAATATCACAAGTGACACGATTGGATCTGACCGCCCCAGTGGGAAACTTGGTGAGTTTTGTTGGAGTTTAAATCGAACGGCGGCGTAGGCGAGATATTTAAGCTGCGCCGCTCACTTTTTTCGTTCAGATAAATGAGTATGCGCCGTCGTGGTGGACGCGTATGTGCCGCGCTTTGGTGCGCATGGTACAATCTGCCTGGTTCCATATAACAAAAGAAGAGGCATATCCCGTGTTGTCAGCTGTTGCAACGTTTCTTGTTATTCTTGTTATTGGCTACACTCTTAACTACATGAATCAGGAGTCGAGGCCTAAGAAAGTGAGTTGTTATTCAAAATTCAGTTTGTGATTATTTACTTTTTTCTTCTGTTTTGGGATAAGCCACGAACATTCGCTAGTGATGAGTGGCATCCAGAAGATCCGCAGTCGAAGTCAGATCCTCCACAAAAGCCAAATCCCCAGGCAAGATTGCAGCGGTGAGTGTATTTTTGATTGTGGCAAATGACTTTATATACACTTTGATGTTCACTTTCCTTCACAAAGGCATGGGCATATAGTACTTTTTCCCTGGGTGTCGAGTGGGAAACCGAGCGCATTGTGGATAGGGGTGAGAAGGGTGCTGTTTTCCCTCACAGGTTTTGTCCTTGATAGCAGTTCATCGCAGCAGATCCGAAGGGATATGTATAGTTTGAAATAAACCAAAGTGCAGCAAGCATTTATTGCCATTAGGTTTTATGGTAGACCTGTTTTGCATTTGATAAACTTTTTTGGTCTTTGCTTTGATCTTTTAATGTTTTTTTTTCAGTGCACTGTCCATAATGAACCCACATATCCATGAATTGCGGGCAGAGAGCTATTTCGGCATGATCCGTCTGCTGAAACCAGGGCTGTAGATCACTTATACTTCTCGTCGATGAGGAAAACAAAGAGAAATTACTCATGCAGTTTGCCCAATACATTCTGCCTCTTAGGAAGTAATTTCTGAGTTTTCTTGTTTTTAATTGTGAAATAGTGAAGCACTTTAATAACCTTTTTTCAGCAATAAAACCTTTTCGTTTGGTTTCCTGATGGTGGAGAAGAACTTGCCTTGGTTCCGGAAATTGCTCGAACATACACTTCCCCTTGGTGACGAAAATACTCCAAAAGATGGAAATTCTCTCTATGTAAAATTGAAGGTGAACAGAACTCAAAACACTGCATCTACTGCAAAAGCAACATTTTTGTAAAAGTTTTGGCTAAAGTGAAGGTGATGTTATAAGAGTATATTTCACGTTTCAGTCGATAAATCCTCGGTCAGACAGTTGGCACTGTGCTTGCTTTGTGCGGTGGGAAGCTGTACTTTTCGATATACCATCCCATGCACACAGCTGGAAAGAAGAAGCAACAAAATCAGCATTTCTTGGGATTCGATGACGATGAGGATATTACATCGGATTCGGATAGTGATAACGGTACTGCAGAAGATGTGAGTTTAAAGGATTTCTTCAGTCATATTTTTGAGAGAAAAAACGGAACGTCATCACACAACATTACAAGAAGGATATGCGTTTAGAATTTAGACCCAATTTTGCCTGTGTTTCGATTCTTAAGAACTGGAGAAGGAAAATGTAGAGGGTGTTCTGGTTTCAAGAGAATCGAATAGCGATTATAAGATTGAATCTATTCAACGTGTTTTAGGAAGTAATGCTGCGTCGTACGGGTAGTGCTGTGAGCGTGGAGAATGTCCTAAATGGCTTCCCAAATTGGTTGGATAGACTTCTGGAAGGCTCAATACGACGGTATTACATCCCGGAATGGCCAGATAATCTACGATAATCGCGTTGCTCCGTAATGTGCCCACAGCATTGAACGAATCATCAAAAGTCTTTTCTACTATGTGGTCATTTTCACCATTTATTTATTGGATTGTTTCTAGTTTTAGTTTCCTTGTGAAAATTTGCCTGCCCTGTGTGACGTATTAAAGCTAAGATGCCTTGGTTACGTTGCTATGGCATCCAAGCCGGATCGTCTTCACATGTCCATCATGTAAGTGTGCTTAATTAGCTGCTATTTGTCGCTCTTAGAACTATTGTGCATTCTTGAACAATCCTTCCCTTGCTGATGCTTTTAAAGCATAATTGTTCTGTATGTATCTTTTATCTCGTTATCTCGATTCTCACCCCAATTCAGTTGTTTTCGTCTTTACAGTGCAATAACCGCGCATATGGCGCCAGTCAGAATTTTTTTCTTTTCAGAAATGCCGCTATACTGTTTATATAAATTGAAATTAAATTTTTATGAAGTACTTCTTCTGTTGCAGAAGCGTCTATCGAACGACATATCTTTATCTTTTTACGCGCAGAACCTAATGTTGCAAACTTATCCCTTTCGCAGCGGCATGGCCTTTGACTTGTCTCGCACTTGGGAACATGACTACTGAACGAGAATTTCTAGAAGAGTTCGTTTATGAGTTATTTTTAACTTGCAACATCTCCTTCTGCAATGTTTTAATGAGTACTTTTCGTTAGCTTGCTTAAAATCGTAACCAAGATGGCAGTAACTTTTATTCGGCTAACGTTTCGGCCTTGTCGCCTTCGTCAGAGCCTGGAAAGCCGAAGGTAAGTGCGATTCATCCCCCAATACCATTTCAAACTTCAAGAACAGTCCCCTTTACCCAATTGAAGTAGAAAGGCATCACTTGGACCCACTCCAACGAACGACCGGACTTGATCTCGACCACTGCTAATCTGACTCAAAGGGGGTGGCTTATAGAGAACTGTTTCTGAAGTTTGAAATGGTGTTTGGGGGATGAATCGCATTTACCTTCGGCTTTCCAGGCTCTGACGAAGACGACAAGGCTGAAACCTTAGCCGAATAAAAGTTACTATCATCTTGGTTACGTTTTCAAGAAAGCTGTGAAAGATACTAC